AAGGCACCAAAGACCTGATTATCGGATCCACAAAGGACGGCTGCCAGGAACATGGCTTGTAGGCACTGGTCCCGCTTATCCGCTTTAGTCCTGTCCGCCTGCTTGAAAAGACGAAACAGCAGCAACGTAGCTCCTGGGGCGGCAGGTGCAAACAGCCTTGCCTTAGGTCTGGCCCCCAGCAAGAATGGTTGTGCAGCAGGGGGTGCCGCGGATGCTGCGGGCACAAGCTCGCCCGAAAACTGTCGCTGCTCTCGCACTGCCACCTGCATCTGTGCCACCTGCCATGCCCTCGCGATGCTTGACAATACCGAGGCTTCAACAGAAGTGTCAAGAACATCCTGTGCCGTGACAAAATAGTTAGCAAGATCACTGTCATCGTCTATGCATCACGGTCTCAAGCGCCAACTGGCCCAGCTCAGCCCTCACAGCCAGAGAGAGACACTGGCTAATGAAAAAGGCGGGCCATCATGAGCTGATATGGCAGCTATCATGAATCGCATGGCTACAAGATTGTATCTGCACATGTCCCTACCCAACCAACCATTCATGTGCAAAGACAATCACTGCAACCTGGGGTAATTACAAAGAAACAGCGTATTTTTGAACACTTTGGACCAGTGGTACACTGCCTGCTTTTCATGTTCTTTGTTCGAGGGAATGTCGTGCAGTGTAGATTGCCCATTCTACAATCGTGGTGCTTTGCTTTGCATTACGGGAGTGGCAGGAGTTCCGCCAGCCTTAAGGCCTGCCGGTAAGGTATGGTTCTACGTGGTCGGCGTGAGACATTGGTTCACTACTGGCCCACATTCAAAGACAAGTTCACAAGGCGCAGCAATTGTACAAGAAGAGTAGTGTACAAAAAGCGCTGGCAAACAAAACCACAAACAAAACGTTGCATAAGAGGTGGCTTCCAGTACCTTCGATCATCCGGAAGGGTTCCGGTTGCATAAACAAATGGGTTCCGTAGGTAAACAATGTGAGCTGGTTCCATAGTACTGTCTTGGTGAAACCATGGCTGAACTATTATCTCAGTTCGATCTCCGAAAGCAGACATGGTAGCAAAAACATGACCACATAGCTAGTCGACTAATAATCGTGGTGCTCTTCTTCTTCTGTGGGTTATGCGGAACCCCAAGGCCAAGCTGGGGCTAGGCCGTCAACCCGCAAGAGTTCCGTCAGTCGCCCCAGCAAGTCCGGAGTGCTGCGCGTTTAGGATTCCCTATTAATACTCTGACAAAACATAACCTCCTTAATATTGTCCTTCCCAAACTGAACTTCCTCCCTGCTCTACCGGGCTGTGAAACTTCCCCTCCCCACATCCCTTTCTGCTGATGGGGTCCGCGCTTGGGCTTTGGTGGCATTCCGCCACTCCCAGTGGTCATCTGCAACAAATTCCCATGGCCATGACCTAGTGCTCTAGCGCTCTTCTTCTTCGCCAGGCTGTCAGGGACCCCTCGCAGGCACCGCCTGCAGCCCACACAAGCGTCCAAGCAGTCGGTCCCACCCACAAAACCCAATGCAGAGCAAAAGGATTCCTAGTCTCTTCTTCTTCTCTCTCTCCGAATGCAGCGAGGGAGACCCCAAATCGGCAAAGAGGTTGCTCCTGGAACCCTCAGAAGGAATGCTTTTCACCGACCCCCAACGCAGCAGCAACTGAAATCTTACTCACTGCCCGCAACTGCTTGCTTGCATCATGCTACTTGTTGCTGAAAGAGAACTTCCAAGCTGGGGGCCTGCAGTTTGCGCCTTGGCAAGCAGCCCGCGTCACTCGAGGATCCGGAATCGTTTGAGTCATGTCACAGGTCTATTTTGTCATGATTGTCTGGAAAGGTAGCTGTGCCCCCCTCTGGGGTTCCCAGCTGCGCTGGCTCCGTCTGCAGTGGCATCTGCTGTTGAAGCCTGACCTCGGTGGTTTGCAGCGGCTCTCGGGCGTTCCAGCACATAACGCGAAGATGGTGCTCCAATTGCCAATGCATGAAGGTCAGGATATGTTCACAGAAACTTGCCCCACCGTCAGGTGCGTGCTGGAAGGGATGTGGAATACATAACAACGAGGGCAACCACAGCCGACAGAATGGTGTTGCGTAGAGTGCCCGGGATCAGCTTCCTTTGCTTGAAACACACCGACCAACAAGAGATTGAGCACTGCGTCCGGTGGCCCTTGCCCTGACTTCTCCATCTGCGTTAAGGCTTGGACCTTCCTTCGAGCTTGGCGAAAAGACTTGTTTGGTTGTCTCGTAGTAACCTCGCATGCACTTGCAAAAGCCATCGCACAACACTAAAGCCAAAAGCTCTAAAGCACAACAAGGTAATCTGCAAAAGTGGTCATCATCCACTCCCTGTGCTTGAGGTGATGACACGTTGTAGGCGGCATCCGCTCTCGCTCCTGCAAGCTTGTGTACCAATGCTATAGCTTCTTGTTGTTTTGCACAGCGGTGTCAACCTTTCTGACTCAGATGCAAGGAGTTTAGGCGACACTAGGCTGAAGTTGCTTCGACCAGAATCTGCAAAAACGCCCTTGCTCGACGTTACATTCAAACCCATTCTCAGTAGCTCTCAGTGCCCTGCATTCGGCTGCCAGGCAGCCACAACGAAGATCAGGGCCGCGAATGGTGCCAGTTCTTCTAAGGGTTGCCGGACGGCCTCTAGCGATGGCTTGCACAGCTAAATAAGCACACAATTCAAAAGGTCGCCTTCCGCGGCTGACAGAAGTCGTGACCGCAAGTTAGTGCTTTAGTCCGTAGAGTACTCAGCCATGCTACTTGTAAAACGTAGCTGGTTGCCCTGGGTGCTTTGACACAAGCCTCCATGACCTGCATGGAGCTGCCCTCTCGTCCGATAGATAGAAGGTCTTCCAGCCTGGGCTTCAACTGAAATTGCCTCTGGTCAAGCTCAGGCACCTTCATTGCTGAGCGCCAGGCACCGTGCAGACTCTGCTCAGGGCACTGAGGAAGGCAAGGACTTTGGTATCGTCAAAGGATGCGATCACAGCATAAGGATCCTAGGATGTCAGAGCAAGTCTGTCTACAGCTCCATTCATTGGGATGCGCTGCAAATTTGTAGGACAACGACCCCTGCTGCACACTCCCTCAAAGTCGGCAGTACCTGTGCACATTGTGGTCAGTCAGATGAGCAGGTGGGGGGCGGAGCTGCGACGAGCTCGCCTTCTCCAGGTTGGTGGCAAGCCTTGGCACAATGTTCACAGCGGCCACGGCCGATGCGCAGATGCGAACTGAGAGCCCATGCATTTCTTTGAGCTCCGCCGCCACTGGCACGTTGCCATCTTCATACTTTGCCTCAGTAAATGAACTGTTTGATGGGCTTGTTTACATGGACCCTGGTCCCGCGAGCCTGCAGGTTGAACAGGCTGGCGATTGGATGCTGCTGGCCTGGGGCAGATTTCACGAGCAGATCATCCTCCTTCCAGGGCTCAGGCCTTCCAATGATGCAAAGAAGTACGGCAAACCTCGATCACAAAGGGACTAGACATGCCCACAGTGAGCAGAGCTGCTGCAAGTACAGAAGCATCAGGCACCAGCAGGGAAGTTCTTGAATGTCTCGCACAAGCGACAGCCCTTGCCTCAGAATGTACCAAACTTGGCCGCTTTGCAAAGACAGCCCACCTGGCAAGCGAAAAAACCTACTATCTCCCGAGCCATCCGCTTCTCAATGAAGCACTTCAAGATGTGCTCGTTGGTCGAGAGCAGCGACCAACAGAAGCGGCCTCGGCAGAGCATCTGGATCTCGCTTAGCTCTCAGACGAAACGTGGACTTCTAGGGACTTTCTGACACAGAAGTGGCCAGCAATTTATGGCAGCTGCTGGAACAATAGAGCCCGCGGCTGAATGGAGCCAGCCTATCCGGCAAGTGTTCTGTGTGGTCCTAGAAGGCAGTGACCGAATGTGGTGTCGCCATCTTGGTCAGAGCAAACCGATAATATCTCGACGTTTCATGGCTTGCATGCACAAGTTGATGATCGCTAGTCCTCCAAGTCCATCGGTGTCCACTCCGGATATGCCTGCCGAGCCCATTGATCTACTTGCTGGCTGTTAGGCCTTCAAACGCGTCTGTCCAACACACCCAAAATCGGACACATTCAAAAGCTGCTTTCGAACTGCCTTCTTCAAATTAACCAGGCCTTGGCCTGTTCCAGGATGGTGCGGAAGCTGGACATGACACATTCCACGACCTTGGCTCCATGCAGGCTGCTGCTTTGCAGCATGCATATGGTGTGTCCTAGAGCTGCCTCATGCGGATCCCAAGAAGGAACATTGGGTGTGTGGGGCCAAGCTTTTTGAACGGCGTTTGAAGATAAGCACGGCCACGTTTCGGTCAGGCTCTCGGACAAGGAAATACGCCGGCATGCTGGTCACCGTCCCGAAATATGCCGACACACTAATACACCCATCAACGACCCCAGGAGTAAATACTGCGGTGGGGAGGTCATGCCCTGATATGCCGATGCCCTGGTATGAATGAAGCCCACAAAAGCGGAGACTTGCTGACACGTATGCCGCTCGTTGATGGAAAAAGTCGATCGGCGTATCAGTGCAAATGTGCGCCCGTCGGGCCCTAAACTGCTGTGTCCGTGTGAAAGCGCTTTCACTTTGCGGCCTGCATTCACGTTAACATCTCCTTGGCCCTGGAAGACGCACCCCGTTCGAAATAAACATCGCTGCCAAGCACCGGGCGTGCTCTGTCAGCTTGCATAACCCAGTTGGCCGATTCCTTAGCACCTTAGCTGTCATCTGTGCATGGAATGTCCGGCAGCCCATCTGAAGCAAAGATTCCGATCTCAGGCCGTGGCCTTGTCCATCTGCGTACTCATAATCTGGATGAGCTCCTTGGCGCAAAAAGATTTGTGCAGATGCTATATCCGTCTCTTATCCACGGTCCCTGAGGCGGTTACCGGCTGCGAGCACAGCAATGGAACGAAGGTAGGGTCGACCAGAACATCAACAAGCAGCTGGATGGGCCTGCAAATAATGCCATGCTTAGACTTAGTTGGCTTTGGCTGACGATTTGCTCATAAAAAGCCCATCCCAGAGCAAAACACTCTGAAAGCGGCAGCCTTGACGCAAGTCCCAGGATGAAGTCTTCCCCCACCTGAACCACCACTCAAGTCTAGCACATAGGATGAAGAGCTTCATGGCGAAAACAGGCGCCAGCTCTCTAGACCTACAGATCCAGTCTGAATAGAGGAGGCAGAACGCCATGGCAGAGAGATGCAAGACGGGTGACGAACCTGTAGCCTGAGTTTTCACATTTCTGACAGTTGGGCGCATGACGGCGTGCAAAGCAATGGAGGCCAGAATGCCAGGCACGAAGGACAGGCACTCAGTGCCTGAGGCAGCATGACCCCTCCCAGCAGATCTGCTACATGTCTGTACCTATCTACTTGCACGAGCACACTGGTCCAAAGCGTTCCCGGGCACCACCTCTTAATCCATGCCTATTAGCTTTCTCGCTACCTCAACTCTACATCGAAAGGTCAAGAAGAAGGTCACAAAGCGGTCACAAAGGAAGCGGCTGCGCATCGTCTCCTTGCTCAGAGCACCCATCACTTCTGGCCTTGGCTGCATGTGCGCATGTCTAGAGTCTAGGGTCAGAAGAGCTTTCATTAAGAGCGGCTCAAGCAGCTTCCAGTGTCACGCTCCGACACGTGGTGAATGCATCAGGTCGCCGAATGCAAAGATGCATTTTAATTTTTTAGGTGCCGGGCAGAACATTCGTCTCTATCAGTTGTGGCACCCTGGAAGGATCCTTGGTGCCCGGGATTTTATTGATGGTCTGCTGCCTTTGTACTAGTTTCAATGACATGCATCTAGCCCTATGTCCAGCGAACTCATGGGGTTGCCTCCGGAACCTGCTTGAAGTAGGGCGAGGCACGTCCTGGATGACGCTGGACACGATGTCAATGGCAGTGCCAAAGAGGGACAGCCCAACTCGCACAGGGGCCTGCAGAGCGAATAGGCTGAGAAAACCTTACGCCTCAAGGTCTGAAGATTCTCTTCTTGCCAGGCCTTCACAGCAACCTTCAGTGCATCCATCATGGGACCCTGGAAGATGTTGGCGAGGCCTGCCTGTGTACTAAAGTCGCAGGTCGAAAGCTGTCATCTAGAAGTATTTGATCGAAAGCCTTCAATGCAAAACCTACGCCTCAGCTGCACGGGCTCGCTCCGGCCTGTAGGACTTCAGAGCACTGGAGCGCCGTCTGAATGTTCTTCAGCCTTGGGCTAAACACAGCTTTCGATGAGGCCGTTGCATAAACGCAGCATCTCTCGTACTGCTGTTTAGGACTTAAGGACGGATTGACTATGCTGCAGCCGTCCAGGCAATATTTATCCGGGCAGAAGCGCTACCACGACCAGCCCTCGGCCCTGGCACCAGAAAGGTCTAGAGATCCTTTCGCGCAGCTTTGGCAGCAAAGTCTCCGACAGCTGACGGCAAAGCCGTCTCCTGGCTGTCACTTCCTCCAGCAGCGAGCGGAACCTGCTTGCGTTTTGGCACTGGAGTGCTAGCAAGAAGCAAGAGTTCTATAGCTCTAAGTAAACCTGATCTGACCTGCATTTTTGCACTTGCACTGGCCTCTCAAGGTGGCTAAAACTCTGTACGGCTGGCAGGCCGCCTCTGCTGCTCCTCGGGTGGTGCGCTTGCTGGCGGTGGTTCCATCTCTAAGGCCTCATGTAGCATTTCGCATTTCGGGGCGTCTTCACTACCATCCATGCCAGTTCCAGAAGGATGCAAGCAGCTGAATTTCAGTAGGCACCAAGCGTCGCCGGTGAAATCCAAGACCTGGAGTCTGGGGAGTCTTTGCAAACAGCAGCAAGGCTATCCCCGGTGTTTTCCCGGTCCGCTTGGCAAAGAAAATCTCGGCTTCTGACCATCAACAACTCCACTTCTCTCTGCAAGCGCAAGGAGAACGCCTTGCTACTCAGCACTCTGCAAACTCGGAACTTTGCGGATCGCCGAGCAAACGCAACACTGGCACGCTGAGCCAACAAATCCCTCGGTAAGAGTATTGTTTTGTTGTTCGGTCTATTTTGTTGTTTGCGCGTTTCGGGCATTTTTTGGTTGTCCGGGCAGGGGCGGGGGAGGAGGGGTTTGCTGTTTGAACGGATACATTATTTTGTTTAGGCACCCAAGCCAGCCCCCCGCC